GTGATTCTGAAAAGGATGACACTGTATTTTGTTTTGTTTTTTTGTTTGAGGGGCTGGGCCGCTCTCTGGACCAGACCGGGCACCCGGACAGGCAGGGAGCCAGCTAAGGACGGAACGACCGAACCCGAACCGGCAGCACAGGGCCGACGGTGTGCAGGCTACCGTCACCGGTTCTACTGCACTGTAGTCGACCAAAATCCCGGACGATTTTGCAAATTCCCCCTGGACATTTTTCTAGGTATGAAATGTAGGATATGGGGGAAAAGGAGGGATGTCTGGTCAACCTATCTTTAATTGAATTTTTGCTCCACATTAAAAAATACAGTTATGATTGTCAAATACAGGTGCTGGTCATAAAATTAGAATATCATGAAAAAGTAGATTGATTTCAGTAATTCCATTTAAAAAGTGAAACTTGTATATTATATTCATACATTACATACAAACTCATATATTTCAGATGTTTATTTTGTTTAATTTTGATGATTACAAATGACAACAAATGAAAATCTCAAATTCATCATATCAGAAAATTAGAATATTACTGAAGACCAATAAAAACAAAGGATTTATAGAAATGTTGGCCAACTGAAAAGTATGAACATGAAAAGTATGAGCATGTACAGCACTCAGTATTTAGTTGGGCCTCCTTTGGCCTGTATTACTGCAGCAATGCGGCGTGGCATGGAGTCGATCAGTCTGTGGCACTGCTCAGGTGTTATGATAGCCCAGGTTGCTCTAATAGTGGCTTTTAGCTCTTCTGAATTGTTGGGTCTGGTGTATTGCATCTTCTTCTTCACACTACCCCATAGATTTTCTATGGGGTTAAGGTCAGGAGAGTTTGCTGGCCAATTAAGAACAGGGATACCATGGTCCTTCAACCAGGTACTGGTAGCTTTGGCACTGTGTGCAGGTGCCAAGTCCTGTTGGAAAATGAAATCTGCATCTCCAAAAAGTTGGTCAGCTGCAGGAAGCATGAAGTGCTCTAAAACTTCCTGGTATGTGGCTGCGTTGACCCTGGACCTCAGAAAACACAATGGACCAACACCAGCAGATGACATGGCACCCCAAACCATCACTGACTGTGGAAACTTTACACTGGACTTCAAGCAACGTGGATGAAGTGCCTCTCTTCTTTTCCTCCAGACTCTGGGACCTTGATTTCCAAAGGAAATGCAAAATTTACTTTCATCAGAGAACATGACTTTGGACCACTCACCAGCAGTCCAGTCCTGTTTCTCTTTAGCCCAGGCAAGACGCTTCTGACGCTGTCTGTGGTTCAAGAGTGGCTTGACACAAGGAATGCGACAGCAGAAACCCATGTCTTTCATACGTCTGTGTGTGGTGGTTCTTGAAGCACTCACTCCAGCTGCAGTCCACTCTTTGTGAATCTCCCCCACATTTTTGAATGGGTTTTGTTTCACAATCCTCTCCAGGGTGCGGTTATCTCTCTTGCTTGTACACTTTTTTCGACCACATCTTTTCCTTCCCTTCGCCTCTCTATTAATGTGCTTGGACACTGAGCTCTGTGAACAGCCAGCCTCTTTAGCGATGACCTTTTGTGTCTTGCCCTCCTTGTGCAAGGTGTCGATGGTCGTCTTTTGGACAACTGTCAAGTCAGCAGTCTTCCCCATGATTGTGTAGCCTATAGAACTAGACTGAAAGACCATTTAAAGGCTTTTGCAGGTGGTTTGAGTTAATTAGCTGATTAGAGTGTGGCACCAGGGGCCATCAATTTTGAACCTTTTCACAATATTCTAATTTTCTGATATGATGAATTTGAGATTTTCATTTGTTGTCATTTGTAATCATCAAAATTAAACAAAATAAACATCTGAAATATATGAGTTTGTATGTAATGTATGAATATAATATACAAGTTTCACTTTTTAAATGGAATTACTGAAATCAATCTACTTTTTCATGATATTCTAATTTTATGACCAGCACCTGTAAATGCATGTCCAGGGAAAGACAAAAAGGAAGTGAAAATAAGCTGGGGCTACACAAAGCAAAGACCACCAAGTTTAACAAATACCCATACCTTTGATGTCATACGCTGTGAGAAGGTGTTTTGATCTTGTTTATCCTTACTAGGAAAAATCAAAACAAACTGGCCTCCTAGCAGCCTATGAACATTTAGCTGGATGTCCTGGTTTGAATATGCCAGCGTCTTCCAGCGACTCAGGTAATGACTGCTAGCATCATAACAATGGGGGAGTTGGCGATGTAACGGTTTGTGGTCCGAGTTGTGGCTGAACAAAGCCACTCTATATTTTATTAAACAAAGTCTCCATCTGTGTGAGCTTACACCTACCCCATGTACACCTAAATGAAATTAGCCACGCTATGCAGCTTCACGCAGATGCCACACCCAAGTCTTCCAACAGCAACAGGTTAATACAGAATGAAAAAAAGAACCAAATTCACCTTCTCACCATTCTCTTACTTTAAAGCTAAGCCATGGTCACGGTCAGCTTAAAGGAATAGTACACCCAAAACATGATTAGCCTTCATTTTCTACTCACCCCCATGCTGAACAACACTCTGGAGTACTTTTTTGATATCTCAAATGCATCTGGAGATCTGGGAGGCTTCTTGCTGTCTGCTGACATTCAAATAAGGGAGGTCTATGGTGACCGAGACAGAAAGGTCCATAAAAGTCCACAAAAAACGTGTCAATATTCCTCCATACTGCTCGTCCAATGTATTCCAAGTGTCCTGAGTGGGTAGCATCCAGAATTTACTCGAAACGAAGTCATTTAGAATGTTTTTAGAGCATAAACAGTAGTGTATAGGATTTCCTGAAAGCGCGCACATGCACGTTCACGATGCTACGGAAGCTGGCAGACCAAACCAGATGAAAGTGCGCATTCAGCGTCTGCTCTGCCAATAATGCAAGCGTAGAAGAAGAAATGTGCTGTTTACCTGTGCAAAGAAAGAAACAACGAAAGAAAAATGTCTGAGGACTTCAGTGTTGAGGAAGAGCATGAGTTCTTTGCCGAGCTGAATGCGCTGGTTTGGTCTGCCGCCTTCCGTAGCGTCGTGAACGCGCATGTGCGCGCTTTCAGGAAATCCTATACACTACTGTTTATGCTCTAAAAACATTCTAAATGACTTCGTTTCGAGTAAATTCTGGATGCTACCCACTCAGGACACCTGGAAGCCTCCCAGATCTCCAGATGCATTTGAAATATCAAAAAAGTACTCCAGAGTGTTGTTCAGCATGGGGGCGAGTAGAAAATGAAGGCTAATCATGTTTTGGGTGTACTATTCCTTTAACTAACCTTGTTGGCTGACATCTTAAGTCACGTAACAAAGCACCTGCTGTCTTAGTGAACATGTGCACCTCTGGGATCTAAGTGCCCTTCTGTGTCTTTAAGTGTGCGTCTCCACCTTTCCATCCTTCATAACCACCATCACAGCAATTCAATTAAATTCTTATTGTATACACAAGGAAGGTCCATATTGCTAAAATAAAATAATATATATTAAAAACAATTAGCCTAGTTCATGACATTAATTGGGAGTTTTTCCATCCAATGATTCCTCAGGGTAGATGTTTATTCATAAATACTCAAATGATGGTTTGTCAACATCTAAATTAGGTTATCCCACTCCTCCATCAATGAGTACATATTTCAGAAATCTGTTTGTTAATCTGTGTAACTAAAAATAAGCTTCTGAGCTTTTTAGTGTTATTTATGATGTCCCTGTCTAAAGTTGTGGACTCAATAAAGAACCAAAATATGTTCCTGGTTGTAATAAAAGGCATCTCTTCACATTATCCTCCCAGATTAATATCATAGCAGGGTGATGATTTAATGAACACCTTCTATTATGTGAAAAAAAAAATGTATCCATTTTACAGCCATTGCTATCCAAAGTAAATAGACGCTGACCTTATTGAATCGGAAATGAGTTTCAGAATTAGCTGAGTGGCAGAAGTAAACAGGAAATACCTGTGAATCTTATATCAAACACAAAATTTACATTCAGAATTAAGTGGTAATGTAAAGGAGTTAAATTAGTTGATGAGAATCAGGGATTAAAACGTTCTCATTATCTCACCTGTTTGTCAATACGTTCAGCACAAGTATATTATAGTTACTTTATTTAGTTAAATCAAGTGTGTAAAATCTGACGACATATAAAACTTATAAGGCTGTGGGTTCTAATGACTATGTTGGAAAATCACTGAACTACAACAACAAAGGAAGTTGTTAAGCTAGAAACACTTCGTCGTCTTCTGTTGTCAGTACCTTCGGGGTTGTTTGTATAGATAAATTGTCTTGGACAGAGCTACAGGTGGTTGGAACTATACGCTAACAAATATGGTAATGATACTGTAGCTACGCTCCAAATTTAACCAAGTAACATTCAGTTCAGGTAATATATAATCGGGTCAAGTTAATAAAGTAACTTGATTAAAATACCTGATATAAAATTTTAAGAAAAAAAAAACAGGTGAGGCAATGTTAGAGAGTCGCGGAGTTTCAAAGCTAAGGCTAACTCCACTGATTGTCTACGGTTAGGTTAGCATTTCCAGGAACTAGCCGGAGCCCTGGGCGATTATTCATTCTCTGGTCATTTCGAATAAATTGATATACCTTATAACAAATTCAAAAGTAAAACGTCTACAATGTAACAGCGATACGTACCAGCTCATTTTAATGAACCTTTAATCCGTTGTCCCTTGATAATAATGTTATCTTCCAAATAACATAGCTTTCTATCACAGCACTTCTGAGCGTCCAACAGGAAGTGACGTCAGCCAAGCCGCTTAATTTCCTCCGAGTTTTATATATATATATATATATATATATATATATATATATATACAACAAAAATAAAGAGCGAGTTAAATGTCATATGTATGGCGTGATATATAAATAGTAACAAATACAACAGTCATTTTATTTATCAAATCCTGTATTAATTTGTCTATAAACTTCTCTATATCTTGTGTGTTTGAAGGAACGTGAGGAAGTAAACAAAAGGCAAGTTATATATTTCTTTATTCAAGTACTTACATGGAAATAACAAAACATTTGCATTACAACAAACTGAAGTGCCAGGTAAACGGGGGAGCACATCTCCCTATCACAAAGATATAGTGAAATTAATTTAAATATTTAGCTCATCATAAAATGACCTTATTATAAGGTAATAAAACATTAAATAGGGAAAAGACATCCACAACACAAAACAAGACCCCTTTTCTTTAACAAAAAAAAGCCAACAGAACAGTTATCCCAATGTGTGTTTCCAGTTATCCATCTTGCATTGTTGTTAGGTTTGTTCCTTTTCACCCATTTTACTTTTTTCATGCATAATAAAAATAAAAAAAAAGGGAGTACCACCATCAGAAAGTGTGGGTGGTACTTTCCGTGCACATGCAAACGTGAGAATATTTTTTTGATGAAAGGAAACACAGCACAACAGAAAACAGTGAGCATCGACTCCGTCTTGGCACCAGTGTCTCTGCTGAATCCCTGACACCACCCTGTAGTCCATAGGATGACATGAGTTTCTTATTATAATATCTACATGTTATTGGTGTTATGAGGGGTTCAGATTTATCTTAAAGAAAACTGACTGCCATTAGTTGCTATAAGTGAACCAAAGCTCAGTGTCTTGCATAGGGCCAATTGAGCCGTTACACACCAACATTAACACAAGTCTGCCTTCAGCTACCAGCAGATAGGGGTCAGGTTTATGATTTGTTGGTCCTGCAGCGTTCTTCTCATGTATTGTTTTTGATCAGCCAACCCTGCAACCCACTTTAGTCCAATGATGGCTGCTCATGTTGGCTTGAATCCAACATGGAGCCAGGGACCTTTCAGTCACCTACTTTTGGCCAATAGAGCATTGAGCACATACAATACCTAATTAAAAGAGGGAAGAAAAGACATTAAAAAGTAGTTTGATTTGAGCTGAACAGGGGGCAATACTTATGGCATCCACATATTTTATTTCAAAGTTAGAATTCAAAAGGGGATGTGCACTCTGTTATATTATAACACCCAAACAGTATTAAGGAAGCAGGTGGGGTAATATAGATTATACAAAATTTACAAAAACACATACAAAACGAAAATCAACACACGCATTAAGGGTTGACGAAATACTGTTACCAAACTTGTAATTATATGGCTTCATATGGATGTTGAAATCGTCTGCTGTTTTCCCCGCCTTACGCATATTATTCTTCAGGGCGAAGCAAACAGAAACACAATGTTCTACTACAGAAGAGAAAAAAATATTTTGGCAAAACGAGGTCTAAATAACCCTCAGCCTCTTCTACTACATTTCATAGGTCTAGTATTAATTCATGAAAAGTTTTGTTTTAGTTTTTTCTTATAGCTTTAATGATATTTTCTGCTTCGAATCCCTATATGGTTATTGCTAGATACAACCTGGTCTATCACAATTAATATACCGTATATAAAAAAAAAAACATGTATTATTATGAAAGTAAGTGTGGTGGTTCAGTCTTCAGAACATTTTAGGAGTTAGTGAGTTTCTTTATTTCAGTGGCTGGAGCAGAAACTCTAATTTGTTAATGTCCAACCAGTGCAGTGGAAGTGCAAGTCTACATGCTACAAACCTATTGATTTACAGCTGTAAACACTCAGAACTTTTTAACTTTTTTTACTCAAGTGCAAGGACAGTTCATTTCGCTATTTAGATGAGTTTAGAAAAGACCCTCTAAGGCCGAGTTAATTGGAAAATAAGTGAATTCTTGCCAGGAAGCAGAGCAGTGAGAAGTGTTTCAGGAAAGAGACCGAATGGCCTTCAGAGCTCTTTGCTGCCTGCACTGGATTCACTTGGCCTTCGCATTAGTCAGTTCCTAACCTCCTTTAGCCCAGTAGTTGAATGTGCCGATGAGTACAGTATTTGCTTTTTTAAGCAGTTTGAGATTAAGATTATGATCATATGCAAAAAAATAAAGTAAAATTGCAATACTTGTTTTCTTCAAAATATAGAAAAAGAGATTTAGTAATGTGCATTTAGACTGACAGGGTTACAAATCCTTTCAATTTTACATGGAAGATTCCTTTGCTTTAAGTAAAACATGTATAAAACAGCATCTTCCTTGTTTTCAATTTCACTATTTTTTTTTATTTTTACCACTTAATAGTGTAAAAAAAATGCCTAAAGACAAATGCCTTTCGCTGTCTGGCAATAAGCCTGTAATACGATCTTCAATGTTATTCCTCTGTGGCAGTGTTCTTGGATCCAAGCAAAACCATCGATGGCCCGAACAAAATGTTTTGCTAAAAGATGGAAATGATCTGAGTGTAAAATGAATAAAGTAAGTGATTTAATTTGTGGAAACTTATTTGCATGATGTGTTATGTATTTTGTTTATGAATAGCTTCAGTCATTAAAAAAACAATCACTAATAACCAGTATTTTTTTTATACAGCTAAGAGGCTGTGGTAATTATAATAACTAATTTTTCTTTTAATGGAAATACACCAAATAAAAAAAATGGAGTTCATTCAAAGAACACATTAGTGCTGTTTAACTGGTCTACACTGTAAATCGTACAGATGGTGCTATCCTTTTGTTGTTTGTGACTTTTTGTTTTTTTCTTTAGTAAAAGATGGAACAACATATTTGGCACTACTGAAGGGACCTTAAAACATTTTAACAAAAGAATATTTTGTTTTTCTGAAAGCTTAAAGACACTTTCCACGTAAGCATTCAATCAATTAAGAGTTCTTGTTTATGCAGAAGTTTGTATTTACATCATGTGCATTAAGGGATGCACATTTATGCACAATTTAATACTGAACTGTGGTGCATTTGACATTTTAGTACAAAAGGTGAAACTTCTACTGTAGCTACCTGCATACATATTTGTATACTGTACAAAAAGAAGAACACATACATTTTGCAGTCTTGTCTCAGAATAAGAAATATGTAAACATGGATTTGTTTTTTTTTATTACTATTAATCTCTTACAATTTTCTGTTCATCTCTTAGTTGTTTTGATAATAATATGAGAAGACATGCAAAGGACCATATTCATCTTCTCTCTATATTACTGCTTATGGACAACCAAGTGTTCTTTGATAAATTGTTCATTCTGTCTGTAACCATGCTTTTTGTTAATTTCATTTGCAAGTGGCATATGTCTGTATTTAATTGCATATTGCAGAAGTCATGGAAAATAAAGAATATCATTGAGCATTTATATAAAAACAAAAGAGCAACTAAAAGTACATTTGGTAACACAACGTCAAACATTTTTAAAATAAAAAAACGACACGCATGGTGTCTCACAGTGACTAAAAATAAATTAAGTATTGGCAAAGGCATCAGTTGCTGTAGACATGTCTGTGCATGTAACAAGACAAGACATTGGCTTTGCTTCATTTGACCTACTCTGCAACGATCTAGATTCAAACGAACTGTGCTGGTTCATCTGGTGTTTGGAGTCTGATCTTACCATTGTTTCCACAGCTGTGCTAAACCGATGCCACACTTGGTTTGGCAAATGTCAGGAACAATTATAAGGAACAACGTTGGCTGCATCACTGCAATACATTTGGCACATTCTTTGAAAATAATAATCATAAAACGACCCCCAAAAAAAGGAAACATTCAAATATATAAAAAAAAAAAAAAACACGTTACACCTTAACAAAAATAACAAAAAATACAGTCACGTGCCACCATTAGGAAAATCATGACGATACACAAATATAACCAATTGCACTTTTAAACAGCCTAATGAAATTAATGCATACATCCCAGACAATACACCTTCTTACTGAGCTCCGTTCATCAGCTTCAGCCTTTCTCATGCATTCTGGCTTTCTTTCAATGAAAACAGTTTCTGTAAAAATGACATATCCACCTCAGAACCTAGTGATACACCAAGACCTCTGTGGCAGAACGTGCTGAGGTGCCCATCTCTGTGTTTACACTATGTTACAGTAGCTGAGGCTCTGAATTGCTTTTAAAAAACAAGAGGAAAGCAGCCCTTCCTCTCTAACTTAAACTAAAGACTTCCATCTCAAAAAAGAAGGAACTGAAAGGAGCCGGAGTGTAAACAAAGTAGAGAATCACCTATTTTATTCAAAGTGTATGTGATCCTTACTTCCAAAGTCTCTGTATGGTCTCTGGCTAGGGTCTAGTCCATGTGCATGTAGTGATGGTCATGATGCTCCCACCGCCGGGCCCCCACAGGAGCTGGGCGGCGAACTGTGGCTCCCGGCCGCCCCGCTGTTCTTGTCCGCCTGCTTCTTGTCCTTCTGTTTCAGGTGAACCTTTGCATGTCTCTTTCGCTCGTCACTCCTGGCAAACTTGCGTCCACAAAACTCGCAGGAGAAGGGTTTCTCACCCGTGTGCGTGCGGATGTGTGTGGTCAGATGGTCGCTCCGGCTGAAGGACCTCATGCATATTCTGCACTGGAAGGGCTTGTGACCTGTGTGGATGCGGAGGTGACGAGTGAGCTCGTCTGAGCGCGAGAAGCGTCTGTCACAGTTCTCAGCAGGACAGGCGTGCGGCCGTTCATGAACGGGGGTTTTGCTGGGACGGTTGGGGTACTTCCTGGGGCGAATGGGTTTAAGGGTGAGAGTCTGAGGTGGCGGGTGGTGCTGAGGCGGGTGCTGTTGCCCGCCAATGAAACCTGGGTGGATCTGCTGCTTGTCTTTAAATGCTCTGATGGTCTCTAGGGGTGTGATGGGTGGAGGGTTGACTCTGATAGGGTCCATGGTCTGGAAGGGCTTGTGCTCCATGACACCAACCTCTCCTTGGTGATGGAAAAGGTTGTAGTCGGGGATCATAGAAAAAAGGCTGCTATCCATGGGGGCTTTGGATGTGGAGTGATATTCATTTCCAGGGTAGGCAAGAGCTGTGCTGGTGGCCGGGCTGTGGTGGAAGGAGACCTGATCCTGGTATAGGTCGCTGCAGGTGGAGTAGGCAGGGAGCGGAGGACCGTATACCTGCTCCATGTCTGACGTCTGTCCACCCATGTTTGCTCCAGAGGATGGCGTTTGCGTTGTAACCGTGCCAGGTGAAGGAGAAACCCCCAGGATGCCCGCACTGACAAGACTTATGATGTTGTTGTCGGGGCACCAGCCGGAGCCCCCGATGCCACCTGAAGGAGGAGTGTCAAAGGCAAACTTCCCAAGATATGTGACAGTTTGCCCGCTGCGGTTGGACTGGAAGCTGGATCCATACTGTATCTCAGAGCTTGTCTTCTCGCTTCCCATCCCTAGATCCATGATATTATCTAGATGAAAAAAAGGATTAAAAACATTAGCAAATTATTCTCTTGGATTCTAAAACATGGATTCAAAATACAGGAAATCTTGTGGAACCCGAAGAAAAAGATTCAGAAAAATTACTCTACTGTGCTGAATAAATATAAAAAAAGAAGAATTTGCTTTGTTCTTAAATAAAGCGTCATATAAGTAAAAGGAAAAAAAGTTACAAAAGATAAAAGAATGATAATATAAAAACCCATACAGTTCACGAAGAAACGTGAGCCCTGTCAGACCTGGAAGTTAAGTGACTGTTGCCTCTGAGAGACTGGTGTCTCTCTCTCTCACAGATCCCACAAGCTCTCATAAATCAAGACCTAAACACCCCCTTTGATCCAGTCATTGTGTCCCTTAGGAGGACAGCCAAAGAGGAATGGCAAGATTTGATGTCTTAACAGCAGGGAGGATTATAAGGCAGACGCCAAATCTAGAATGCTCAGGAATTCAATGTTTGCATTTGCTAAAAAAAAGGAACATCTGGAGGGAAATTTCAGTGTTTCGTCATAATATTTTTCTTCTGTTTTTAAAATTATTATTATTATTATAGAAACATTTACAGCAATTCCCTTATGCTCTCGCTCCTTTTAAAAAAGCTTTAAAGAACAATTACAGATATATTACAAGTGATAAATTTCAGGGATAGCCGTGTTCTTTAGGGTAAATATGTAAGAATTTTAACAGAATTACGTCTGAATAAGAACTTAAAATAGACTTTTTTCATCTTGTGGGTGAGGTGTTCATATTCACTCTCAGTAATAAAAGGCCACTGACATTTGACTGGTAAAGCCTTTTAGAGGAATAAAAACAAGTCTTGGAAAATACTATTTGACATGTGAATAAATATGGATTCTTTTTCTATGCATTTATGAATATGAAACATAATCTTCATTTAATGAAACTTAATCTTTATAAAATTAATCTTTATATGTACTTTTAATAATTAAGTTTATATTATATTTTATATTTTTATTTTATTTTAACCACTAAGATTGGGATTTTAGACGCAAAATTAAAGTCAAACCTTTTCACACACCTGTTCCAACTATTAAATCACAGCAAATGTTTAATTTCCTTTAACACCAAATAAGAATGTTATGAGTGTGTGAACTGAAATTAAATAAAATTCAACAGAAATACAACAAAAACACTCCTCTAGCTGTGATATATATATATATATATTTTATTTATTTATTTATTTATTTATTTTTTTTTTCCTAAATTAAACCCTTTATTAGCGCGCAGGGGTTATTGCGTAAATAAAATTGTGTTTTGATCCTACACACCCTGATTCGCTCGTGTTGAACTGCCAGTAAAAATAAGCTTATTTTACCACATGGTGTTTTGATAATTTAAACGCGCACTGGGATAAAATAAAGGAGAGCAATCTCTCGATTATTAAAACTACGTTTTATGAACTCTAGATTAAAACACGCGTGTGTTTTATAGGGAAATATTATAGGGGAATTCTAGGTTTCCTATTTTTCTCAGCATAATTCTGCCTCCTCAACAAATAATCTTTATATGTATAATTGATATAATAACATTTTTTACCTATTTATCCAATTCTCAAATGCGTCAAAAGAAGACGATGAGCTAAATATAAGGACCAAAATGTAGAAATAATTTTGATTGAGCGAATGCGATAAATAATAAAGCCGCTGTTGCAATTTCCTAAATCTAAGGTAACGCACGGGCCATGCGCTTTGAACGCGTTTCATATAGGAGAAAGCCCCCGCACACGCCTACTAAAACACTGTTAATAGAGTTGTGAATGAAAGTCATTGTTTTAAGTAGCTTACCCCCCCTTTTTTTTGCAAGTGGATATCAAATCTGAGGCACTTTGGTCTAACCGCACATTATCCACGCTTCCAGATTTTGTTCCACAGATTCTATCATCATCCTGGAAGCGCTTTTCCACCAAAATAAAAAAAGTTCTCAGCTTTAAAAAAGTTAAATCACAACTTGAGAGTATTTCCTTGCACATGTGTTTCTTTTTGCACTATTTTTTTAGTGTTTTTAGATTTCAGACGATGCGTTTTTTACGATTTGAATTCTGATGATTCTACTCGAGACGTTTATGAAATATATATATATATATAAATTGAAAAACAATCACACTGCAAACATTACTTCTATATCTATATTTTAGTGGGTTGACTCACTGATTTACACACCTGGCCTCTCTAAATTGTGGGTACCAATGAACCTGCCTCCGTGCGCAACAGAGTGAGAGCGCAAACAGGTGCTCCGAGCCCGAAGACAACTGTTGCCGTTTTCGCTCATCTCACTTTGAACCGCTTTAAACAGAGCGACTAAACTGAAGCATGGATTAAAGTCTTACCTGTATTCATCTGCGAATAGTGGTTTATAGGCTCCGTGCTGGTGAAAATGTTCATAGAGGTGGGGATGTCCTCCTCCGGGTACAGACTGTCGGGGATCGCGTTTATTAAACTGCTCATGGTAAGAGGGATCTTGTCCGCTAGTTTCCCTGTCATAGCAGTTATATTCAGTCCGACATTTACAGAGGACAGCGCGCAGGTATCCAGGTAACCAGACGGAGAGACGCACAGGTGCTGCCCGGGCGCTGGAGTCAGGAGCAGGATGGATTCCGGTGCTGTACTATCCAAAGTATCCCGCGGAGGACGCGCAGAGCCGGTTATCTCCCTTCTTAGCGCACAGAGCCTATTGTTGCTATTAATCTGATCACTGTGGAAGCTGACGGGTTGCTTGTGAGGGAATTTCAAGTCTGTGAATCAATAAAGGAGGAGGAGGAGATGATGGTGGTGTTGCTTGAACAAGAGGAGCAGCTCTGCTTGCTCTATTGGAGCTGGATAGGGGACTCCAGTTTACCCGTATTAAATAGTGGGATGGAACATTTGTGTGACGTAGATGACCATATATGGACATGGGCGCCCATCAGAAGGCTCTCCGCGCGTCAGTCAGTGGAAACTACAGTGGAGGCAAAAGGCTCCGAGAGAGATATCTAAGTTTACAAAAACTGAGATAGCAGATCCAGCTGCGTCCTTCTTCTATTCGTTGTCTGTCCTTGTGAAATAAAGGCAGCCTCTAATCTTGATTATTTTCAGTCCTTGTGATACCTTCTGGGGAGTGTTGTGACTATAAAGTCTGTCACTCACACTCCGTGTCATGATTTCAGATTATGTTTCCCACAATAAATTGCATTAAGATTTTTAAACATGTTTTGATGACTTCACAATCAGGCCCCATCTTGTCCTGAACAGTTCAGACAGGACTTAGTCTCTCCTTGTCTCTCTGTGAACTTGCACACACTTTCTGCAGCACAGCATTGCAAAAAAGCAGCTGGCAAACTCTTTTAAAAGCAGCCACATTGTCAAACAAAGGCAGTAATAGACGGAGTTAATCACTTGTACATATTGCATAGCTTTGCACAGACTTGCTTTGACTTGGAGCCCAAGCAGTAGGTCGGGTGGAAACTCCAAATAAGGCAGTGTCCGGCCCCGCCCCTCCACGTCTGTATATGGACATGTGAGTTCCGGGTGAGGCTGTCGTAGTAGTAGTAGTGGAAAAGTGATCGGAAGCCACAGACTGTTAAAAAAATGACAGTGGACAACGCGTCATGGTTCGTGTTTTTCACCAGCCTGCAAAGTTGTGAAAAAAAGCTTACTTGTTGCCTCCTATAAAAAATCCCCCCCAATGATTAAATTGGTTACACTAAAACATTTTGTGTAACAACAAAGAAATAAACTTAATCACAGCTTTTAACTTTTACATCCAAAATAAATAAACTACTGCTATCAATGCAATTTCCAATATTAAACTGAGTGATTCATGTTCAGTACCTGTTGTTAAAAGAAACAAAACAAAAACAAAACAATCCTCGACAAAACATACGCCTCTTGGAATATATTCAGAAAATACAGAATGGCATGTCAGTGCTAGCACACACAGAACTGAGAAATTAATAGTACTCAATGAAGCATAAGTGTAAACAGAGTGTGTGGGAGAAATAGTCTGAATCATGCCTGGTGTTTGGGGGGGTTACACAAATAGAGCAGCCGCTGATCTTGCATGTCTTATTGCCAAATGCAAGTATTTATGCTAAAGTGTCTCTTTTAGTCTCTAAGCATAGACTGACCAATTTTGACGAGTAGCAGGACAGCATGAGGAATTTATTTTTGGACAATCAAATCTTTTTTTTTTTGCAATCCTCTGACTCATTTCACTCAGACTTTTTTTTACTTGTTTAAGATTTAAAACCTATCAGGTTATCTTATTTACAATCTCAGTTACCTCTTGAGTGGAATTTGGATGGTCACCATATAAAGGTATCCCAAGTGCCGTTTCAAAACTGAAATACTTCTTTTGTAATGTTCATGGTCTTAAACCTATGTGACAAATGTAAGGCCCGCAGGCCACATGTGGCCCATTAAGGCAGTTTATGTGGCCCTCAGGAGTCAAAAAAGGCACATCATGTCATTGAATAGAGGCATGTGTGCTTAAATGAAATAATGGAATCAAAGCAGATAGGTGCCGATGTGTAAATCTGTCTCCATATCTGATGTTAATATTGTATTTATGCCCAATAACTCATTTAAATCGATAAATTTTTTCTACCATTTGGTCACTGTAAAGGAAATACATAGAACTACCTTAGATATATGATCTGGTGAACTGTAAAGTGTCTTGAGATGACATGTGTTGTGAATTGGCGCTATATAATTAAACTAAAATGAATTGAATTGCTTTTCTGCTTCAGCTGAACAGATCCAATCCTGTGATGCATCACTACCACTATCACATGACTGAACAAACACCATGTAACTAGTCCTCCCCCTCATGGAACAAAAAGAGCAACTGGATGCAAATAAACATTGGTTGTTAATATCGGCCCAGGTTTATTTTTAGGCACAATAATGTTGTGTTTCAATGATACCCATGTTAATGCTGATATAAAACCTAAATCTATAATCATCTAAAACCTAATCTAAATCTATAACCTAAATCAAAGGTTTCATATAGAACTGATGCAATTGGCCCTTTGCAAGACTTAAAATTGATGAAGTGGCGCTGAGATAAAAAAAATTAGTTTGACAACCCTGATGTAAACGATGCTAGAAACATGACTTGAGTGGCTAGACTTCTATATGCAGAACAAAGTTCTTTGAAATGTTTGCTGCACACTGACCGTCAGCAGGCTTAATAATTGCACATTTATTTTTCTAGCTTAAAATAACATACAGAGGTTGTTAGTTTTGTAAACTAAAGAAACAACAAAGTTTTATTTAAAACCTCCTAGACTAGACAAATTAAGAATGTATTATTATTATTTTCATATTTTCCCCTATTGTAACTTTAAAAATAATATCAAACAGGTCTCAAATCCTGTGCAATAAGAATCTGAAATCTGCAGCTAAATGAGGGGGCATTTATTTACTGCTATGTTTCAAGATCAGATGACTGTTAACATTTGTTACAGATTACATATGTTAGGTATTAAGATTACACATTCAATTTTGTCTTTGTTGTTTTAATAAAAAAAGAAGCAGGACCATGCCCTGTGATGACATCAAACCATACTTTCATATTTGTAAAATAAAATAGTAGGTTATGGATTCTGATGAGTTCAAGTTGAGATATTTGCATATGTATAGCTTAGCTAATTATAATTTCTTTCTAATATATGTTAAGTTTACAGTTTTTTGTTTTGACTCATTTTATTACAAGATAAAACAATAATGATGATTTAAAAAATATTTAAAGTAATATCTAAGCAAAAAAAAAAAAAACTGACATCAGCAGATAAAAGTTTGAGAGTGGTTTGATGCAGAATAACAATTTTATCATCCTCTGTGGTTCTACTCTGTTGGTGAATTGAAATTAGCGTCACTGCCTGATCAATACTCTGTTACAAATGTCTAAAACCAATGGTTTCCTCTGACTTTAATATAGATGAAAATCATCAGAGGATCCCCAGGTGTGCCCCAGGACTCTCTGAAGTGGGATTGTCTTTCCTCGTGCATAGGGAGAGTTTGTATTTCCCTGCGGTTGGAAAGTTGGCCACCCCAGCTGGAAAACATACCTGTAGCAGGCTTATTTCCTCGACTGTGAGACGGGTCACAAAAGGGGAGGGCCTCTATTGTTTGTCAATGGCTCATGGCGTGACCAGGCTCTGAGAATAGCGTCCAGCTCTTTTGCATATGGGAATTCCATGGAAGCAGAGGCCCATTTTAAAGCACTGTGGAAAACCTCTCAGGCACCATGGATGCATATTCAAATTTTATTTTTTTTTTCTTTCCACATAGAATCACAATGGTTAAATTTATCCCATCTTTTTGATGAGGCAACTACAAAAATAAAACATTTCCAGCTGCACAAACATCACCTGAGCAAATACTGTTATGTGTCCTAATGAATGAGAACATGGTAGTAAATTCAGGACACCAAGTACCCTAAAGAAATGATTAGAAAATCTAACCAGCATGATGTACCTCTGCATGCATAAGTTAAAGGAATAGTACATCCAAAACATGATTAGCCTTCATTTTCTACTCACCCCCATGCTGAACAACACTCTGGAGTACTTTTTTGATATCTCAAATGCATCTGGAGATCTGGGAGGCTTCTTGCTGTCTGCTGACATTCAAATAATGGAGGTCTATGGCGCCCGAGGCAGAAAGGTCCATAAAAGTCCACAAAAAACGTGTCAATATTCCTCCATACTGCTCGTCCAATGTATTCCAAGTGTCCTGAGTGGGTAGCATCCAGAATTTACTCGAATCGAAGTCATTTAGAATGTTTTTAGAGCATAAACAGTAGTGTATAGGATTTCCTAAAAGTGCGTTCACGAGTCTACGGAAACCGCAGCAGACCAAACCAGACGAAAGTGCGCATTCAGCTCGGCAAAGAACTCATGCTCTTCCTCAACACTGAAGTCCTCAGACATTTTTCTTTCGTTGTTTCTTTCTTTGCACAGGTAAACAGCACATTTCTTCTTCTACGCAGCACATTTCTACGCTTGCATTATCGGCAGAGCAGACGCTGAATGCGCACTTTCATCTGGTTTGGTCTGCCGGCTTCCGTAGCGTCGTGATCGCGCATGTGCGCGCTTTTAGGAAATCCTATACACTACTGTTTATGCTCTAAAAACATTCTAAATGACTTTGTTTCGAGTAAATTCTGGATGCTACCCACTCAGGAAACTTGGAATACATTGGACGAGCAGTATGGAGGAATATTGAAACGTTTTTTGTGGACTTTTATGGACCTTTCTGCCTCGGGCGCTGGGCACCTCCATTATTTGAATGTCAGCAGACAGCAAGAAGCCTCCCAGATCTCCAGATGCATTTGAGATATCAAAAAAGTACTCCAGAGTGTTGTTCAGCATGGGGGTGAGTAGAAAATGAAGGCTAATCATGTTTTGGGTGTACTATTCCTTTAAGTATAAATGTGTTCAGAACATTTAAATGGACGCACTCCAAATTCCTCCTAGAGTTTTAAGTTTATTTGTTCAGCAGACCAAAAAATACTTAAAAGTGGCGGACAAAATTTAGGCCTAAGAGCAATAATAGACGTTGACAAACTGGTTGCATCTAAAAAAAATTTGAAGTCCAGCATTTTTTGTCTTTTACTTTAGAAAGTGATTTGTTATAATCGCGCCTTCCTTTGCATCAATTACTGCGTCAATGCGCTGGGACATGGAGAAGATCAGCCTGTGGGTCTATTGAAGTGCAATGGCTGCTCAGGGTCCTTAGATAATAGCTTTTAGCTCATCAGCATTGCTGGTCTGATATCTTTCATCTTCTTATTGACGGGGTTAAGATAAGACGAGTTTCTTGGTCAGTTCAGTAACACCATGGT